ACTCTTGGCATTAATCTCAGTTTAAGATATTCATATTTAAAGGCCAAAAATGTGTAAATTACTAAGTTAGCTTGAGTAGGGCTTTGGAAGAGAGTATCCAAATGTGTTATTTTCACAGTGTGTGTATGTGTAGCATATGAAGAAAGAATAAGAAGTAGCAGCAAGCTGAAGGACAGGTAAATAAGGTGAAAAATTTCCAGATGTTTAATTTAGTGTATCCTTGAGCCTAATGTCCAGAAAGAATTCTTCAAATATGATTCAGAAAATTAGAATTATTCAAATAGGATGAGTCCCTTCAATATTTGATGGTAAAGTTAATAGCTTCAAAGTCCTTGACTTTTATTTGAGAAAGTAAAATTTAAAAGCTTATAAGCTTGCTAGATTAACTAATTTACAATGCCCCTACCAAAAATACTTGTATATGTCACAGTAAAAGTGCAAAATTATGCTGTTATAGAGTTATATTGTAACCACTGGTTCCACTCCAATTTCTTGTATGAAGTTCAAGCCTTTGTGGGGTGAGGTTTTTTCCTGTCTTCTGGAGAGGTGAAAGGAGTTAGTCCATTTTGCTAAGATAGTGTTAAGAGTCTCCAAATTGTATACTCTGAATTAGGGTCAAAATGCCAAAATGCAGCAAAATAGTCTGGCTACAGTTTACAACTTCGGTCATTTGAAACTTAACTTTCAATTTAGTGTAATATTAAAGCCTCTAAGTAGGTGTTAGTTTTTCTGGAGTATATGATTAGTGACTTTTCGTTAAAACAAAACAACATTACTGTTTTGACTTGAGTTCTCTCTCATGCTTCTTGAGTTATTATTGGTTTGTGCTAGCCGTGGAAAACTATCAATAACAGTTTCATGCTTATACCAAAGAATTAAATCTGACTCTTAATATCTGATGTTTGACAGTGCTTCTACTAATAAGGGATGATTGGAAACTGGTCTCAGAATATGAAAGTCAACTCTAGTCTCTCTTTCTCTGTTTGATGCTTTTCCTTGAGGCCAAGGATTGGAGGCAAAGCATTTGCAAATATAGACGTTTGTATTTAATCCAAGGAAATACGTTTTGAATTGATTTAGAGTTCCCGGTCACCTATTTTAAAACAAAGGGAAACAGCTGAGCTTTCTTTAGAACAGTTTGTAGAAAATACAGTATGAAAAAGTTTTCATTTTCCTGTTACTTTAAATGTTATGTTGAGTTATTATTGATACCATTTTAGGGGAAATGTTAAAAATTGCTCCAAATATTGAATATAAAGTACATCAAGTAACAGTGTCTTTGGGATATTAAATTTTTGCTCTTTGGTCATCTGTAATTTTCTTTATAAAATTTCACCTTTGATACAACTAAAACTATGTGCTAACATGTTGTGTATTAAAAAAAAAATGCTTTGTTGGAGGAAAATTTCCCTTGGAATGTGGTTGTAGTCATCCTTGTTCATCTATTTTTTTTTTTAAACAGGATGCAACTTAGAATTTCCTTTGCATCAAGGTGTATGCTAAACATTGATGCAGTGCATCACAAAATGAAAGTTTGTATTTAATGAGGAGGTGCTTTACACTGTACTTTTTGGTGTTTTTTGGAAAAGTTACATTTAGAAGCTGTTCATTTTTAACAAATAAAATGTTACAGGTTTCACATGATTTGTTCTTAGCTATCAACATTAAGTTGTCGTTTTTAGATTATTCTGTGCTATGAAGAACCTGCTATTAGGTGATTATAACTTTTTAAGTTACTGATCACCTGAATTAGTAAATCTATCTGGATTCTTCTATTCGCATCCTTCTCTTGCTTTTTAATAATTTCATTCATAGTTCCAGCAAGAGCTGGCATGGAGGAATTTTGAAAGAAATTTACGAAGGAGTACAGTGCTAGATGAGCTTTTAAAAGGCATTCAGTTTTAACCCCTCTTTTTACATCTTAGTAAAATGAGACCCAAGACTCTTAAGACTTCTAAGGGGCACAATAACTTTTTGATCTCATATCTAATTAACAGTTGATAATAGTAAACATTTTTTTTTTCAATTGCACACCCACAGAAAGTAGTGGAATAATGTATGGCCTGACAGCTGCCCAGGACTTGCTAATAGCCATATTTTTGTATTTAGAGGGTCTTCAGTAAATCATCTAGTGATGATTCATACTTCATTACTTTGGCATTCAAGTTAGGTAGACCTAGTGAAAAAGGACGTGTTCACAAGGAGACATACATGAACACAAACTATTCTCTGTAATTCTAATTAGAAGTAAATCATAATTTACACCTATTATGAAGCACCATTGGGCTTTGTCCTTGGTGATTAGTACTTTTTTTAGAATAGGATATGACTCGATTGCTGTCAATGGAATTATGATTTACATAATATAGACAGTTTTAATATAATATTTGTGCTGATTATTTTTACCACATAAGAGTGAAAAAAAACTCAGTTGGCATTATGGAGAATGAATAACTTGTATTCCAGATGCAGGCAAATAGTAAAAATGATTTCATTTTTAATCAGTAGAACTCTTGAGCTTTCATCAGAACTACATATCATTTTTTGCCACTGTAAAATTTGTGATTTAAGTTTCCCTTTAAAGAATGTTCCTAGATCAGTTTGGAGTTATTTTTTTAAAGATAGTAACTTCCAGAAACCATATATTTACCAGAATCTTGTACTAATATGGTCTTTCTGTACGGGTTAAAAGACTTACTTGGACATTGTAGAGTTCTTTTTTCCCCATGCCAAGACAGTTTATTCTGTAGTTGAAATCTATCCTACAAAAACTTGGTAAGGAGGCATTGTCTGAAATCTCTCATCCTGAGTATGTTCAGATGAGGTATGCCAGTGTTTAAAGATCAATTAGAAGCTGTTCTCTAGTGTACGTGTTTGAATTTATATTTCCATATTCCTGAATCTATCATTCATGTTTCTTACTAAGAGAGCAAGAAAAGAAACAAGCAAACATTGGATATATTCAAGAAGTAGGGTTTTTTGTTTATTTTTTTGTACATTGGAAGAGAATTAGATTCACCAAGATTCTGTGTTTTTAACAGTGGAGTCGTATGTTCATAATCTCAAGAGGCAAGCATGATACATTTTCTAGGCTGTAGAAAGGGAAAAGAACATGTTAACTGTGAGATGCAGAGCTGCCAAGAGGCATTGAAATGGGTGAAGCTTTTGTCCCAGGATTGACTGAACTTTCAGCGTTTAAAATAAACAGGAAGAAGCAGGAAGTCCACTTTATCAATCCCTAACGCTGCCCCTTTGCCTACAGCCTTTTTGCAACTGTCATCATTTGTATCTGTCACTTGACTCTAGTAAGCCTGACAAAATCTACATCTGCTAATTCTCAGTCAGCCCCCTTCATGAGAGTAGACTGAGGAAGTAGATGAGAATCCTTTGTAACTATGGAATGTATGAATAGACAATGTAACTCAACTCTAAAAAAAAATGTGAAATGAGATCCTGTTCTTAGGTATTTATTCTAAGAATAGCAAAATTTTAAGAACAATAAAAAGTGATACATGCACTGGATGTTGGCCAGGGATGACGAATACATCAGCTGCAGCTGCAATTTTTTCAGTTCATAACACTGAAAAAAATTTTTTAAAGATTTATTTATTATAAAGTCAGATACATAGAGAGGAGAGACAGATCTTCTGTCCAATGATTCACTCCCCAAGTGGCCACACGGCCAGAGCTGAGCCAATCCAAAGCCAGTAGTCGGGATCTTATTCCAGGTCTTCCATGCAGGTGTGGGGTCCCAAGGCTTTGGGCTGTCCTCCACTGCTTTTCCAGGCAGCGGAGCTGCCAGGATTAGAACCGGCACCCATACTGGGTCTGGGTGTACAAGGCGAGGACTAGCCAGTAGGCCACCACCTGGGCCCGAAAAAGAATTTTTAAAAAGATTTCTTTTTATTGGAAAGGCAGATCAGATTTACAGAGAGGAGACAGCTCTTTCATCCACTGGTTCACTCCCAAAGTGGCTGTCATGGCTGGAGCTGAGCCTATCTGAAGTCTTGTGGTTTAATGCCCGCACACGTGTCATACCTCCGTGTGGCCACGCTGATCCTCCTGATGTGGAACATAATGTGGACTCATGATCCAGAGTTGATTAAAACAATTCATCCATGATACAGATTCCTTTTCCTGAATTCCTAATTTCCCACCACCCCACTTGCTTTTTTTTTTTTTTTTTTAACTTATTACCAAGTTGGCCTATTTTGACTCCGCGGTCAGATTATCCTGCAGGAAAAATACTTTATCTGACAACTATTTCCTTAATAAATTCTAACTGGCTAATTATGGATGGGATAGACATCGTATAATGAATGGCTTAAATGTAAAAACTGGATTATGCTGGACATTACAGTACTGACCTAATCGGTTGAAAATGAAGTGTTTCCCACCTGAATGGACCGTTTCTTCGGTTCTACCTGTTATTTCCACATTCAGATCATCATCGGATGATTTTCTCTGCAATTTTGGTTCCAAACCAGAACTTTAGACTTGAATACCATTCCTCCCGCTGTGGCCAACAGTGCCACCTATCCTGCTTAAACTACACGTACTCTAGAGGATGTTTAGGAAGAGTCGCTTTAAAAAACGAAGTGAGTGTCCAGTATAGAATCTTTAACGTAAGAATTGTGTCGTTTCGAGCAAAATGAACACGTAATCACATTCCCCCCCCCCCCCCCAAGCATTAACACCGATTTAGATCATCCGGGAATACAATTGCAAGTGGGGAATTGTTTCAGATCGTAGGGCAGAAAGCTCAGCTAGTACCTGGAAGCTTGGCGCGCAGCGCTGCGGCAGGTTTAGGAGTTCCTCGTAGTTCCCATGGAAACCTGGCTGTGGGCGGGGCCAGGCGCCGGCTGTGCGGAGGGGCCGCCGCGGAGCTGCCAGTCAAACGGCCGTCCGGGTCTGGGAGCCCCATTCCCCGCCCTCCCAGCCATCCGGACGCGCATGCGCGGAGCCGGGCCCCGGGCGTGGGGAGGGGGGAGCCGCGCTGGAGAAGCTTCGGCTGGGAAATGGCGGCCGCGGGCTTGGTCGCTGTGGCAGCCGCTGCCGAATACTCTGGCCCAGCCGCTTCTGGAGGAAACCTCCCTGCTGTTAGCTGCGGTCCAAACTCTGGGGCGGCCTCTGGTCCCGGCCCGGGCTCATGGAGCCGCTCCCTGGATCGAGCGCTGGAGGAGGCGGCGGTCACCGGGGTGCTGAGCCTGAGTGGCCGGAAACTGAGGGAGTTTCCCCGCGGAGCGGCCAACCACGACCTGACGGACACCACCCGGGCCGGTAAGCGGGGCCGAGGGAGAGCCGAGCGCCCGGGCGCCGTCACGGCCGCCGGGTCCCGTGGGACACCCGGCTAACGGCGCCAAGCCGGCCGCCCAGCCCGGGGAGCCCTGCGGGCCTGGCGGGGGCCGGACCCCGAGCCTGGGGCGTGGCGGCCGGGCCAGCATCTCTGTGGGACCGGGGGCCGCAGGGCGCTGGTTTGCGGCTTCTCGCGGAACGGGAGCTGCGGCTGCTCCCGCCGGGGTGGACCACAGATGCAAGCCGGTCGGACCCGAGCGTAGTCGGCTCTGACTCCAGAAGCGTTGACTGGGATGTTGTGGTCACTGCATTGTCAGGCGAGGCTGGCCATCAGCGCCGGGGTTTTTCCCCGGGTGAGAGAGCGACTGACTGTGTATTTAATAGGAGTTCAAGTGCACTCACTTCTCCCGTGGTCTAGTTGATGAACCAACATGTAGCTGTAAAACGAACCGGAGCCCACCATTCAGGCTCCCGTGACAGTGCTATTCCACTCGTGTCTTTAAAAAAAACTTACTTAGAAATTACTTAGAAAAGGTAGGTTGCCTACCCTCTATAGCTACACTTGATTTTAATGCGTTAGTGTGCTTTGTACATATTTTTGAGCAGGGGAATGAGAATGAGAATTAGGTGTTACTTGGTTTTCTTAGTTATATGGAGCAATATTTGGTGACCTAGATGTTCAATATATTTTCTAATGTTTAAAATACAATTGTCTTAGGGAGTTGTTTAAAAACCGAATCTATTAATTTTTTATACAAATACAATTATAATGAAAGACTTCATAGCGATTTTGCAATGGAAGAATTGCAGTTGCCCGGAAGAATTGTCATGTATTTATTCTATTCTGTTTTATTTTACTTTATCATCTTTAATTTGGCATTTTTCCTATGTTTGTGCACTCACTAAGGATTGATCCATATCTATACAGTTTACTCGAGTTGGAAAAATAAACAACTGTTAAACTACTTCAAGAAACTTCTTTCGAAAGAAACTTTTTGCTGTAGTGTGAAATGGATGAGATTAACCACCCGTTTATTTAATATATTTTTTGAAAGATTGTGCAGAATGCAAGTTTTTAATAAGTAATAGTGAAATTGAATTTTTTTTAGTGTAAATATGAGCAACCACTTGCCTTTCGTCTGTATTCTGATAGTATTTAACAGTGTCATCCATACCCAAAATTTGCTGATTCTTTTGGGACATGGTTGTATGGCATGATTTCTTGTTGTGTCATTTCAATATTGCCACATTATGCCTGAAGCTAAAGAACAAGTTGATAACACAAGTCTTCCTACCTCATTGTCTTACCTGCTTTTTAGCAACACCTTGTTCAGCCTTTAACAAATCCTCAGTTAGCTAATAGGAAGTGCAAGAACATTTATGAAGGAGAATAATGACAATGAAATTTTTCCTTACTGTATTTTGAATGTTTAACTAGGGTATTACCCGCACGTTTATAGTGTAGTTTCTGTATAAGCCAGGTTTTCTGTTAGGTGACATTTCATCTTGTCGAAAGTATTTTAGAAAGTGGAAAGTACAACGTATTTTATACCTGTTAGACTAATTTCATTTCTCGTATGTTGAAATGTCACTTTAATGTGTAAGAGATCTTTAACAGAGCTTGATAATTATTACACAAACACAGTCTGAATTGTTTTAAGTAGATAATACTGATAAATTGTTGCGTGTGCACTGTTTGTTATTTATTATGTTAAGATATTCTGAAATACATTGCCTGGTTAAATGCACACAGCCACCCATTTATTAGATATATTTATCCCAACTTTAAATGTAAGGAATTACTCAGAGAAAGTCATATACTCAGTGTTACTGGTAGCATTTCAGCCCAGGCTTATCTAGCTCTGTTCTCTGCATTACACCTTGCAGCCTCCCCATGTACAAATTTCCTGTTCCTATGGATAGTGAAACCAAAGGTTAGAGGTGTCAAATATTTGCTCAAAGATCTACAGCTAAAAGTATAAGAGAGGATAATGGAATTTGAGCCTGCTTTGAGGTAACTCTAAAACTCATAGCCTGGGCCCAGCACGATGGCGTAATGGTTAAGGTACTCGCCTTGCATGCCCCAGGATCCCATATGGGTGCCGGTTTAAATCCTGGCAGCTCCAGTTCCCATCCAGCTCCCTGCATGTGGCCTGGGAGGGCAGTTGAGGACGGCCCAAAGCCTTGGGACCCTGCACCCGCATGGGAGACCTGAAGGAAGTTCCTGGATCCTGGCTTTAGATTGGTGCAGCACCGGCCTTTGCAGCCACTTAGGAGTGAGTCATCGGATGGAAGATCTTCTTTTCTATCTCTCCTCCTCTCTGTACATGTGCCTTTCCAATAAAATAAAATAAATATTAAAACCCATAACCTTCCCTTTATAGCAGGTATTTTGGTGAATTCAGAGAAAACTTATAGCAGCTAAAATGTTTTTCTTAGTCTGTAGAAGATTTGAAGTCAAGTAAATTATTTAAATTATAGATGATAAGTTTGAATTATATATACACATATGTTTACACCCATATAATAAAATGCCTCATGAATTTTTTTTTTCTCATAATGTATAGAATGTATGTAGTAGAACTGCTGTCCTGTAAGCATTTACATCCTTAGGGGCCTGGGCAGTAGCTTTGCTGCTGAAGTCCTCTCATTGCATGCACCTTGGGATCCCATATGGTCACTGGTTCTAATCCAGGCGACACTATTTCACATCCAGCTCCCTGATTTTGGCCTGGGAAAGCAGTTGAGAATGGCCCAAAGCCTTACAACCCTGCACCCTAATGGGAGACCTGGAAGAAGCTCCTGGCTCTTGGCTTCAGATCGGCTCATCTCTAGCTGTTGTGGTCATTTAGGGAGTGAAACAACAGATGGCAGTTCTTCTTCTCTGTCTCTCCTCTATGGATATCTGACTTTCCAATATAAAGAATGTTTAAAAAAAAGTTTATGTTCTGGGAAACAGTACTTATTACTCAGACCAGTCTTGTTTTTGATTTTTGGTTGGTTGGTTTTTTTCATTTATTTGAAAGGCACAGTGTCAGAGAGAGAGAAAAAGAAAAAGAGTCAGAAAGAAAGAGGAAATTATTTAGCATGATGTTTCATTCCCCAAATGGCCACAACAGCCCCTGGACTCTGCTGAAGCCAACGAGCCAGAAAGTCTTGTCTGACTCTCACAGAGATGGCAGAGCTAGCTTCTCTGCCCCCCAGGCCTATTAGCAGGAAGCTGGATCAGGAGCAGAGCAGCCAGGCCACAAAGTAGTACCTCAATATAGGATTCCAGTGTCGCAAACAGCAGCTTAAAGTGCTGTATCACAACTCCAGCTCCAATTACCATTTGTAATAGAACAGGATTAAAATTTACAAGGACTATTTTCTTGGCATTTCTCCTCAGGGAAAAGAAAAATTGTTTGGGAGTGGGTAACAAGGAAAATCTTAGAAGAAATCATGGCAGACATCTCAGTAGAGGAAATATAAGGTGATGTTAATAGTCAGAAAAATTAAGAAAAACCATTTCAGACAGTGATGGACAACATGCAAAATGGGTTTTTAAAATAATTTTTAAAGATTTATTTATTTTTATTGGAAAGTCATTTTTTTTAAGATTTATTTATTTGTATTACAAAGTCAGATATACAGAGAGGAGGAGAGACAGAGAGGAAGATCTTCCATCCAATGACTCACTCCGCCACGAGCCAGGAACTTCCTCCAGGTCTCCCACACGGGTGCAGGGTCCCAAGGCTTTGGGGGGCCCTCGACTGCTTTCCCACGCCACAAGCAGGGAGCTGGATGGGAAGTGGAGCTGCCGGGATTAGAACCGGCGCCCATATGGGATCCTGGCGCATTCAAGATGAGGACTTTAGCCGCTAGGCCATGCCGCCGGGCCCGTATACTCTACTTTTAAAATCGCAGAACAAAAACATATAAAAAAGAATATGGGGCTGACACAGTGGTATAAACAAGCTGGTTCACTCCCCAGATGCCAACAGTCTGGCTGGGCCAAAGGCTGGAGCTGAGAAAGCAGAACCCAATGACTGTCTCCCTGGTTTCCATTGGCAGGAAGCCAAAATCAGGAGCCAGAGCTGGGTGCAGAGCCTAGCTACTCTGACTGGGGACATGGACCTCTGACCCCCTCACTGACTACCTGCTCTGGAACCTGTCATTTCACCAAGTCATAAGGACAAAGAAATTTGGCTTATGTACTTTCTGCAATCTACTTGATACTTTTAAGGTGTTGATAACATGTCTGGTTAATCATGAGCCACAGATATAAATTTAAAGCTTCAGCTTCAGAGTTAAAGAAAACAGATAGCATTAAATTTGAAGCAATTAATAGAGTATGTGAGATTCTCAAAGGAAGGGTGAAGAGTGAAGAAAAAATTGTTACTGTTGTACAGCTGTGGAATACACCAGCATTTGAAAAGGTACAAAAAGAATTAGCTCAATAAAAATAAAGAAGTGGCAGGCTTTTAGCCTAGTGGTTAGGATACTTGGTGGCTGCATCCCATTATTAGAGTGCCAAGATTTAAGCCATGGCTCTACTTCTAATTGTTGCTACTCATGTGTACCCTGCGAGGCAGCAGGTGATAGTCCAATTACTTGGTTCCTGCTACCCAGATGGAAAACTTGTACCAAATTCCAGTTTCTGATTGGCTTGGCCCAGCATGAACACTGGAGAAGTAAATTAGCAGATGGCAGATCTTTGTCTAACTTTCTGCCTTTGATAAATAAAAATTTGAAGCAGAACAAACAGCTACTACAGCAACAAAAACAGAAGCAGGGTTTGTTAATTAGGACTGTTCTAGAATTCATAGAATCCTAAAGCCTGAAAGGACCATGGTAAATACCCAGATTATTTCACATATGGGCAGTACTCTCAAATGAAGTAAAATGCTCAAGGTTATGTAGAGAAGTGTGTCGATTCACAGAAGGCAAATAGGAGTCATATTGGAAACTGTAAGAAATCTCTTATGAATGAGAAACAGAAAACA